AAACAACCACTCTGAAAGAATAGAGAAATTCCAAGCGCTTTCGTGACTACTCACATTATCAAGGAACTATGATAATGTGAGTAGTCACGAAAGCGCTTGGAATTTCTCTGTTCTTTCAGAGTGGTTGTTGTTTTGCATATATATATATATATATATATATATATATATATATATATATATATATATATATATATATATATATATTATATATATATATATATATATAATATATATATATATATATATATATATATTAATTCGTAACTAATAGTTTGTAACTAAGAATGGCGAAAATGGAATTTTGTGGAATATGACCCACGCGGGTTTATCACTTCAAATAAATAACAACAACAGCAAAACACCACCAACATTAACAATAACAATAATAATAATAACAATAATAATGAGTGGGAGTGGGAGAGAATGAAAGAGGAGAGGGGAAGAGAGAGTCAGGAGAGAAAGAGAGAGAGAGAGAGAGAGAGAGAAAGAGAGAGAGAGAGAGAGAGAGAGAGAGAGAGAGAGAGAGAGAGGAGGCAGGTCAGTGATATATTGAGGGTAACATGCATAACGTCACATACACTGCCTCCCCCCACCCCCCACCACCACCCCCCACCCCCACCCCCCACCCACCACCCTGTGGAAGGGAGGGGGTGCGAGAGGAGGGGTGGAGGAAGTAGGAGTGGAGAGGGGAGGAAATGTGGAGAGAAGGTGGTAGTGGAAGGTGGGGAGGGAGGGGGTGGAGGAGGGGGTTGATGGGGTGGGGGTGGAGGAGGGGTGGAGGAGGGGGTTGATGGGGTGGGGGTGTTTTTCTACTAATCAGAATAACAATCACAAACAAGAACAAACACAGCACAACAAAAATTTTTTTTTTTGTAATCAGGTTTTCATTTTTTTTTCATTATAAAATTTTCTTGCTAAATGTAATTGTTTATCTAAGTCTAAAAAGTTACTTTAACTTAGGTTAGATTAACAAGAAGTTAATGTAATTGTTAAGGTCAACGAGAAGTTAATGTAATTGTTAAGGTCAACGAGAAGTTAATGTAATTGTAAAGGTCAACGAGAAGTTAATGTAATTGTTAAGGTCAACGAGAAGTTAATGTAATTGTTAAGGTCAACGAGAAGTTAATGTAATTGTTAAGGTCAACGAGATGTTGTGGAAATGTAATTGCTTGCTTGGGTTAATTATATTTCTGCAAATGTATATATGCGGAAAACAAAGGTAATTCCTGTAAATGTTAATGTTATCATACATGAAATAGGTGTAACTACACGTAAATTACCTTAATTACACATATCACATATCACATACCATTACACACAGCACATTACCCATTATTCAATGGTGGTGATAAAAGTAATTAAATGTGATTATAATGCCAGCAGATGATGATAACCCAAATTATTATAACCCAAATTATTATGATGATAACCCAAGTTATTATAATGGCTGTTTCAGCACAAAATAATTATCACTTTAGCAGCATTAAATGTAATAATATGTTTACCAAAAGATTTCTCTAAGAAAAATAATTATGAAAGTAATTATAATAATAACAGTAACAATGATTTATTACCGTAATATTAATCTTGAAAATATATATTTTTAAGTTATATTTAAAAAAATTGCATATTTTTGTTGTTCTGTGAAGATAATTAATGTTAACATTACATTATATTGTTAACATTACATTATATTGTTAACATTATATTATATTGTTAACATTATATTATATTGTTAACATTACATTATATTGTTAACATTACATTTATATTGTTAACATTACATTATATTGTTAACATTACATTATATTGTTAACATTACATTATATTGTTAACATTACATTATATTGTTAACATTACATTATATTGTTAACATTACATTATATTGTTAACATTACATTATATTGTTAACATTACATTATATTGTTAACATTATATTACATTGTTAACATTATATTATATTGTTAACATTATATTATATTGTTAACATTATATTATATTGTTAACATTATATTATATTGTTAACATTATATTACATTGTTAACATTATATTATATTGTTAACATTATATTATATTGTTAACATTATATTATATTGTTAACATTATATTATATTGTTAACATTACATTATATTGTTAACATTACATTATATTGTTAACATTACATTATATTGTTAACATTACATTATATTGTTAACATTACATTATATTGTTAACATTACATTATATTGTTAACATTAAGGGATATCAATTATATTCACATCACCTATATTTACAGATTTATTTACAGCTAGATTCACCTAAATGTACTTAAATTTACAGCTGGATAAATGAATCGAGGTCTGAAGTCAATCTGCTTAATGGTATGCAAATTTCAGCCTTAAAGTAACATGAATAGGAGAATTATGGGACATACCTTCAGAGAGGAGGTGAAGAGCGGAAACAATGGCCACGGCATTAAACATGCTGGTCGCTCGGATCCTACAGGGCATCTTTTAGCT